AAAGAAAAGAAAAGAAAAGAAAAGAAAAGAAAAGAAAAGAAAAGAAAAGAGGGTGTGGGAGTAACTGGAAGATGACATGCTTGAGGAATGAAAAAGTTGGCATTCCAAACCCCCGCCCTCAGTGCCGAGAATCAAAGCAGAACGCCACATATTCAGGAAAGACAGTTTTCCACTCAGCAGCGCCGAAGCCCCAAAACCTGTTATTCTTTTTTTATCTTACTGTTTTTGTTTTGATACAGGGTCTCACGATGTAGACCTGGCTGTTTTGGAACTCACTCTGTAGACCAGGCTAGCCTCGAACTCAGAGACCCGCCTGCCTCTGCCTGTGAGTGTTGGGATTACAGGCGCGTGCTGCCATAGCCGCCACCACCACCACTGCCTGACTTGAGATCAGATTCTACTCTGTAGCCCAAAAACTCACAGAGCTTGCCTTAACTCTGCTTCCCTCCCACGTGCCGAGGTGACGGGCGCACAGTGTGTCATCACAGCCTCTTCTGTGTTCTTAGAATCTCCTTGTTTGTTTGCTGTAGTGCCAGCAACTGAACCTAGGCCCTCAGGAGGCTGGAGAGGTCCGGTACCGCTGAGCAGCATCCCTAGCCCAGCGTCCCTTGGGTGATTTCAGAATGCAAGAGCTATTGATGGCCAAAGGTCTTAACCACGTTGGGAGAATGATACCCTCGTTCTCACCCCAGGGTTTGACAGCAGTTTTTTAATCAAGTGAGAGCTGACACAGGGACAAGGGAGCAGAGTGTAGCTTCCCTCAGAGCCGGGTAGTGGCGCACGCCTGTAATCCCAGCACTTGGGAGGCAGAGGCACAAGGGTCCCTGTGAGTTTGAGGCCAGCTTGGTCTACAAAGAGAGTCCAGGACAGCCAAGGCTACACAGAGAAACCCTGTCTCAAAAAACAAACAGAAAATAAAGACTAAGCTTCTTTGAGAACAAGGATCAGGAGGAACAGAGAGGACAAGGTGCAGAGCTTGTTACTAGAGGCGTCTGTCTTTGCTCTCCTGCTGCAAACATCCCACCCAAGTGACTCCTCAGGTGGAGAAACCTGTTTAGCGACCTTGTTTTTTGTTTTGTTTTGTTTTTAGCACACTGGAAAGAGCAGCAGGCCTGGTGGGAATAAAGCACCCTCCTGCTGGCTGTGCTTGCTTTCTTCATTTTGAAAGTCTGGAGTATCCCAGGCTGACCTCAGACTGCCTGTGTAGCCAAAGCTGGTCTGGACTCCTGATCCTCCTACCTCCAGCTCCCAAGAGGGTTTGCCACTGCACATGGAACCCAGGGCTTTATGCTGGCCAGGCAAGCACTGCACCAGGGGAGCGACAGCCTTCGCGCCTCCTTGGAAACAGAACAAAGCCTCAAGGGTAGAGCAACACAGGCTGGGTGAAACTCTGAAGCCAGATCCAGGGCCGCCAGGCCACAGCGAGCCTGTCTCTAAGAAAGTACTCCTGTAGAGTTTCTTCTTTACAGTTCTGCTCTGGAGATTGAAGAGCTGAGACGGCTTTAGAAGTTCTTGTGGGAAGCGTGGTGTTTTATCTCATCCTCAAAGAATGTCTCAAATTCCTTAGCGAATATAATATAACAGGGCCCATCCTGGAAGGCAGCTCAAGTGAGTTCCGAGAGACACACACAGCAAGCGAGCGGCTGTGTGCTCTGTCTTGCAGTTGGGCGCGGCAGCATGTCCTCCTCAAGGGCCTCTGCCAGAGCGGCGACTGCCCACGCTAGGGTGCTTAGCAAGCTCATCACTTCCACTCTCACCTGCATGTGCTGCCACACACCTGCAGCCCCAGTACGTGAGAGGCGGAGGCAGGAGGATGGAAAAGTCCAGGTTATCCTTGGCTACATAGTGAGTTTGAGGCCAGCCTGGACTACACTGTCAGAAAGAGTGGGGTGTGGGGACTCCAGGAAAGAAAGCACAGTAAAGGCAGGAAATGCCGTGCTCCTCTCCCTCTTGCTCGGTTTCAGATCTAGTACATCAGCTAACTTTAACGTTCTTCTCCGCAAAGAAAAAAAAGGCACGGTTGTTCTCCTTAGTGCTCATGCTACGAGTGTGTGGTTTTCACGCTGAGGCTCAGACATGACAGATAGATTAAGGTATATCTTTATGAATTTTATGTTGAAAACTCGTTTTTGAAAGCACCATAGAAAAAAGACTGTTTATGGTATCACTGAGTATAATTTTGGTTTTTATATGTGTCTATCATTGCTGTCTTTCTTTCCAGGCCGGGCATTTGTACATATGGTCAGTATGTTTTCTCAACCATTGGCACTTGGCATCTCCTTTCCCTGCTCCAGAATGGTCTTCTCTGGATCAAACTCACAAGCTTTGCATTTTCACAAGCTGTGCCACTAGAGAGTGAACCACAGGCATGCCGTGTGGGGATGGGACGGCCTGTGTGTGTCCGTGTCTGTGTGTCTGTGCTCTAATGCTCATCCAGTTTGACACAGGCGCACAGATATTTAACTCGGTGGTATGTGTCCACACAGCTGCTTTTGTCATTTCACTGGTCAGCGGGTTCTGCTTGTGACAGGGGCTGGATCTGACCTGAGTTCTAGGAGAAAGCTTTTTTTTTAATAAGAAACATTCCAAGTTTATTTGAAAGATGTGCTGTGAGGAGAACGGAATGGCGAGCGTTTTGAGTTCACCAGCTGTTCTTATTTTGTAGAATGAGCTGAGAGCCAGCGGCGGCGAAGTCAGAACCCAGAGGTCGGAACAAAAGGAGAACGTGCCCCCGGGTCCTGAGGTCTCCCCTCAGGAAGGGAAGAAGGTAGGAACGCCTCGGTCCAGCTGCCAAGGAAGCGAGTATTGTAAATTAGCTTAAAATTAGAAGGGGCTCTGAGTGCAGGCTGCAGCGTCTGGGAATGTGGTGGCAGCTGCCAGGGCAGACTGTCATTTTTGCAGGTCGCATAACTTCAGTTGGGAAGCTTTGCAGCTCACAGCTGGCCGAGTAATGGGCCTTCACTGGAAAATTCTTTTGTTCAGCAAATGCTCAGAAGGCAAAAAAAACCAAACAACTAAACTCATTCATAAAAATCTGTTTGCCCAGAGCTGTCATTTTCAGTTTTTAAAACTTTTTTAGGATTTATTTTATTGTATGTGCATCCATGCGCGACTGGCGCCCTCGGAGCCAGGAAGGGCACTGAATGCCCTCGAACTGGTCACAGATGGTTGTAGCCACCACTTGGGTGCTGGGGGCTGAACCCAGGTCCTCTGCAGGAGCAGCGAATGCTCTAAACCTCTGAGCCGTGTCTCCAGCCCCGAGATACTGTCTATACAGCACTCACATGTCCTTCTTAAGTACACACTGAGTGTGTTTTTTAAGATTTTCATTTGCTTGCTTTGTCTTAATTTTGTTTTGAGCTGAAGGGCCTGTTGCTCAGGCTCGCCTTGGTCTTGTACATTCAAGCAGCCCTCCCGCCTCTTAAGTAACTGAAGCTACAGGCTCACGGCACCACCCCTCTGGCTTAACACTCTTTCCTTCTCTTTGTAAAACCTTTGTATGGCCTCACTCGAGGCTGTTTACCGGTTTGGTTTTGGTTCTGTTGTACTGGTAATTCACCGACGGCCTCGTGCACACTAGGCAGAGCCCCACCGCTGACTCACACCTCCAGCCCTCCCTCGAGGCTTCCTAGGTAGTACGGTAAGCATGAGAAGTGCTAAGGGTAGAGACTGAAGACTGGGCCAACAAGATGGCTGACCAGAGAAAAGCACGCGCAGGCAAAGCTTCGGACCTGAGTCCAGTCCCAGGACTCACACGATGAAAGGGGAGACCCAGCCCCTGCAAGCTGTCCTTTGACCACCACGTGGACGCTGTCCTCGCCCCACATACAAATATCAGTCAGTTAATATAAGGGCTGAGCTAAAGTGGAGCCAGGCATAGCAGCAAATACAGTAATCCTAGAACCAGTGAAGGAAGTGAAAGCAGCATGAGTTCAAGGCCAGCATGGTGTACATAACAGGTTTGAGGCCAGCAAGTCCCTGTTTGAAAACAAAGACACCACACAAACATTCATTCTCATTCATATCCTTTTCTCTCTCCCCCTGCCTCTCTTCCTTTCTCCCTCCCTCCCTCCCTCCCTCCCTCCCTCTCCCCTCTCACTCTGCAGTCCACTTGCAATACATGTACAAGAACACTGACAAGCCAGCCTCCTAGCATGTTAGCTGCAATGGGTGCCGTGATAGATGGTGGAGCTAGTTCAAAACTAGCTAATGCACCTTCTTCAGGGAGGGGGTGTCTGAGCCAAGCCTTGAGGGATGTGCAGGAGGGGCGGAGTGAGTGGAGGAAGAGGATAGACGTGCAGGGTGCAGAACCCTGGGGCTGGCCATTTGATTGATGAGGCAAGGTGGTGGTGGTAAATAGGCAGTAACGAGGGGCAGGTGGCAGGAAAAGCCAAGGCAGGATCTGGAAAGGCCTTCGAGGCCATCCTCAGGGGCTTAGATACAACCAAATGTCGGTGGGAAGCCACGAAAAGAGTTTCAGCAAACCACATTTGTGATTCGAGCTTTAATCATTGGATGGACGGTTTAGCTGAAGCAAGTAACAGCTTTATGGAGATAGTTTACTTGATGGTCATAGACTCCTCAAATAAATTTTATACTGGGCTGGAGAGGTGTCTCAGCGGTTAAGAACACTGGCAGCTCTTTCAAAGGACCTGGGTTCAATTCCCAGCAACTACATGGCAGGTCAGAACTATCTGAAACTCCTGTGAATTACTCCAACTCCTTCTTCTGAACCTACATGCTGCACATATATCCATATATACAGGCAAAGCACTCACACGGAAAATAAAAGAAAATGTTAAGAATAATAAATTGTATGTATCTTTACAATAGTGGGCCCTCCCTTCCTTCCTACCTCTTTTTTTTTTTTAGACAGTGTCTCACCCTGTAGTCCTGGCTGCCCTGGAATTGCTAGGTAGACCAAGCTGGCCCCAAACTCACAGAGATCTGACTACGCTTACCTCTTGAATGTATGTCTTGGCTAGTGAAAGTTGTTTCTCAAATGTAACGAATAAATATGTGTGGAATGTTTCTTATAGTCTGTAAATTAAAAAAATAAAATAAAATAAAATAAAAAATCCCAGCATTGAAATCGCCCATCTTTACCTAAAGAGCGTAACTGAAGAAATGCTTACGTGGAAGAAGGTGCCCATGGTGTTTTTAATTGTTTTTATGCTCTATGGCCCAATTGTCTTCACGCTGATTTGATCTGAAATTAGAACTCTGGGCTGAACTGCGAGATCAGAACATTTTAATTACAGCGTAAAAGAACACGAGTTGCAAGTGAATCATAAATCGGAGAGTGGGTGGGGAGGAGAGGGATAAAGATAGTTGATACTCTCAGGCACGTCCTGTGAGTGTGTGGCCTGTGGCTGCCTTCATGCTTGCAGGCTTTTCAGAGCCCTGGCTCTCCTTTTGGCTGCTTGACTCCCTTTGTTAACCAGTACCTGAGCACCATTTGAACTTTAGTCTGCTGAAGGAAACATTCTTTAAAAGAAACAAACACACACACACACACACACACATTTTTACTTACCCTTTGAGAATGTGAGAGGGCATTGCATCCCCTGGAACTAGAGTTGTGGGCCGTTGCGAGCTCTCCTCTCGGTGCTGGGAAAGGAACCCGGGTCCTCTGCAGGAGCGCAGGTGCCCTTAACTGCTGAACCATCTCCAGCCCCAAGGACACGTTCGTTAAATGCCAGCTCTGTCGAGCTGTCCTACATCCGAGCGTGCTCTCCGCACTGCTGCCGAGCTCCTGCCCTGTGCAGTGATGGTCAGCCCGCAGCCTAGTGCCCACTGTACATGTTTGCAGTTCATCAGACATCTTGCCATATGCGCTCGGTCTCACCCACTGACTCCACCAGCAGGGTCCTAGCTGTGGGAGGTGTGCACCAGCAAAGGCTGGGCTGTGGAAAGGACGCGGAGAGCCAGCTCTTTCAATTAAGTTTGATGGCTATTGAGGAACGGATACATACCAACACAGAAGATCTGCTTCCTGTTAAACAAAAAGCTGACATTTTGAGACTGGAATCTTTGTTGTTTTTGTTGTGGTTTTTGTTGTGTCCCTGTCCCCAGGTATGGCAACGCCTTGTTGTTTGTTTTTTTTCTTTCTTAGATTTATATATTATTATTATTTTATGTGTCTGAGTGTTTTACCTGCATCTATGTCTGTGCACCATGTTTGTGCCCGAAGTGGTCAAAGAAGGGTGTTGGATCCCCTAGGACTAGAGGTACAGATGACTGTGAGCCACCACGTGGGTGCTGGGAATCGAACCTGGGTCCTTCAAAAGAGCAGCAGGTGCTCTTAACAGGTGAGCCCACTCTCTACCCTCTGCCTCCACCTTCCAAGCCTCAACCTTTCCACCAAAACCACACAAACAGAAAACCAGGAAAAGAAGAGGAGGAATGGCTCCTGTATTTAGATGCGTGCCTTCCCCTTGCCGTGAGCGTGCTCGTGTTCGGCAAGGCCTGAGGGGTTTTGCTCTCCTTCCCTCGGGTTTCGTTTGCTTCTTCTTCCTAAGAGATGGCTTGTGAGTTCTTTATGAGGGAGATGATGCTCTCTTGGCAACCGAGTGCAGTCTGTTCTAGTGTTCCCCTGTAATTGAGAGGCGCCTTAATATCCTCATAAAAGACGTTTTGCTGCCTCTTGTTTAAATGCTCAGCTGTTCTGAGGCCGTTATTTCCCCTCAGGCAGCCAGTGACTAACTGGAGTCAGCAGGTTTTTATGGCCTTGGCAGCAGTTTGCTCTTTTATTTTTAATGCCCCTTAATCTCTCTCTCTCTTTTTTTTCCTTGCAGGTTTCTGCAGCTGAGAATAGCCTGGTGGCCCACTCTGTCCCTGCTGAAGATGACACCTGTAAGCATGTGCTCTGTGGTGGGGTCCTTGTTCTCCGAACTGCTGTCTGCTGAGGAAGGAACATAACAGCCCCAGCAAACGAGCTCAGAGTTTCTATTGTGATTTAGGGACTGGTGCCTGAATACCCATCACACATTTCATTGCTGAGGAAGAAGTTAAATTAAATATTTTAGCTGTCATAGTGGCACATGCCTTTAATCCCAGCACTCAAGAGGGAGAGGCAGATGGATCTTAGAGTTCAAGGCCACCCTGGACTACAGAGTGAGCTCCAGGACAGCCAGGGCTACATAGAGAAACCCTGTCTCAAAAAAAATCAAAAAGAAAAAAATTAAATATGGTTAACTTGGGACAAAGAAGATATTTTAATTTTTTTAGATTTTTATTTATTTTTATTTTATGTGTATGGGCGTTTGCCTGAATGCTGTCTGTGTACCATGTGTCTATATATAGTGCCCGTTAAGGCCAGAAGATGGCATCAGATCCCTTGGAACTGGATTTAAAGTCTGACTTTAGTAGAGGGTGTTCAAGTAAGATTGCATCAATATTTGAGAACATTTTAAAGGCGTAGGGACTTCCCTGCTAAGTCCTACATTTTGACATAATTTTATCCTGTCTTGGTGTTATTTTAAGCCTGGTTTCTCAAAGAGAAAAGATTTGGGGTTTACTTTTACTGTCTCTTTTTTTCTTGGACACAGTCTCATTGCACTGAGCCTGGAACTCACCATGTAGAAGAGGCTGATGTCTCCCGCCTCTGCCTCCTGCGTGCCTAGTCAGGGCTGTGGGGTGTGTGCCACAGTGCCTGTGATTCTGTGACCACTTCTGATCCCGATTTTCAGGGTCTCTCTGCATAGCCCTGCCTGTCCTGGAAACACCCCCCTCCCCATGTAAGACCAGGCTGGCTTTGAACTCACAGAGATCCACCTGTCTCTGCCGCCAAGGGCACCACTTTGTCTAGCTCAGTGAATTATTGTAGTAAAAAATAGAAAGGTGTCGGCTACATGGTATTTATTATCATCAGCCCTAAGATTACCACAGCAGCATTATTTAACCCACTATCACAAATAATAAGACACAGACACCTGTTAGATTTACAATTGCTTTATTTACCTTGGGCTGGGCAGATATTTAACTTACTCGGTCTCAATATACTCACCATCCATCTCCCAGCCCCCCTCCAATGCCACCCACCTTAATCCTCCTCATCTGGACTACCTTCCATCCATAGTCCCATGGTACTTGCTTATATGCTCCATCTGGCCCTTTCCACGCCATTATTGGAGTCCTTCCTCAGACCACATGGTGTTTTCAGCCTGACCCATCCTGACATCCTCTCCCTTCCTCTCTTCCAGTCCATCTGTCCTTTCCTTGAGTCCTCCTGGGATTCTCCAAAGCCCGTGAACCTTAGCCACGCCTACCCCATTCTGCCCTGCCCAGGTATGGGCTGTTCAAATAGCCAATCAGGCATACTGACGTAGGCAGGTTTACACAGAGGGCCAAACTCCAACAGTGAATTGTTTGTAAATGCATAGATTTCCAGCTTCCCCCACAACAGGGCAGTTTACTGGACACAGAAACCCTCAAAACTGAGGCAAAAGCATGAGCCGGGCAGATCGCTGGTAAAGCTACCTTTAGATTGCCCAGAAACGCTCTGTGCTGAAATTAAAAGCACGCTGTTCACATTCGCTCTCCTCCAGACTTTACAAAACATCTTAATTATATTTTTATTTATTTATTTTCACGTGGACCTGGACAGCTCTCAGGAGTCTCTGCTCTCCTACTGCATGGATTCTGGGGATTGAACCCCGGTCCTCGGGCTCAGCGGCAAATGCTTTTACCCATGGAGCCATCCTGCCGGCTGAACTCTAGACTCGAGAGCTCGGGAGTTTTGTTTAAATGTTCCCTTAGTATCTGTGTGAGTGGCTTTTCAGGATTGTCTGAGTTTCATCATGAGGTAAATACATGGCAAGAAGTTAATTCGTATGTTTTACTTAAATAATTATGAAGAAAACCTTTATGTGGCATTTCAGTCTTTATCAAGAATAATAAAAAAGAAAGAAAGAAAGAAAGAAAGGAAGGAAGGAAGGAAGGAAGGAAGGAAGGAAGGAAGGAAGGAAGGAAGGAAGGAAGGAAAGAAGGAAGGAAAGAAGGAAAAAGCAGGCAGGCCATAGTGGTGTGCTGCTTCAATCCCAGCACTCAGGATCTCTGAGTTTGAGGCCAACCTGGTCTATATAACAAGTCCCAGGCTAGCCCCAAGGCTACACAGTTAGACCCTGTGTCAATTAAATTAAAAAAAAAAAAAGACTTACTACATATTCCCTCATTTTTCTCTGCTGAAGCACCCTAGAAGTTACAAACTACCAAAAATAAATCAAAATCTACACACAGCCTGATGGCAAATGCTTCGGAGCCGGATGTTTCGCAGGTGGCCTGGGTCTAGCCGTGTGCTACAGAGTAAGGAAGTCTGGCAGCGTGGCTCCCGAGGGAGCGCAGGGTCCTCTCTGTTTAGAACCCTCCTCAACAGAGAAGCAGTGTTTGTCCCAGCGCTAACAGGACCCATGCTTCGCTGTTTTAAAAATCCTCTCTGGGGCTTTCCAGGAGCTTCCCTAAAGTGTTTGCCTTCTGTGACCCAACCAGGTGACTCCCAGCTGACGACTGAGGCCCGGCAGCCTGTCCACCCCAAGCCTCTGAGTCCTGACCCCAGAACCTCCAGTCTTTCGGAAAGTTCTCCTTCCAAAACAGTGAAGGTATGGCAGCGCTTGCTCTGTGACGCCTAGGCTCTTATTCCTGGTATCGCGTGTGGCAGTTTTTAGCATTCTGTTCCGCATTGCCTGTTTGTGCGGTGCTGGACACAATGCCAGCGAGGGCATGCTTCTCAGTAACCAAGGAAGACACCTGGCATTGACCTCTGACCTTCCCATGCGCCTACACACACGAACATATGAAGAATTAATTTTTTTTTCTACGCCTCATGTTAGAGTTGCTAATGTACTTGTTATTGAACACTGGCTAGTGTAGTGCTAGAGCAGAAACTGGTGACACTCACACTCCTGGGACATCTTTTGCACAGCTGAGTTTTGTTTTAGAAATCTCAGCTTGAGAGAAACTGAAAGGTAGACGGTGCACTGCTCCCACGCCTAGCACACAGCTGCTGTGACTATTCCTCTTGTGTGTCCAAGATCAGTCCCCAGATGAACTGAAGAAAAGAGGACACAGTGAGTGTTTGGAACCAAAAGAGGAAGCAGAAGAATCCAGCACTGAGAGGGTAGATTATGTGGGCAGGCAATGGAGAGGGCCACCAAGAAACGTTAAAGGAAGCAGAAAGTCAGGAGGAGAGCGAGGCTGACGGGAAAAGAACAAAAGCTGAAGAGAGGAAAAAGAAAAGAGGTGCAGACAGAATGGGAACTGAGGAGCTGAGAGGCTGAGCGCAGGGCTAGAGCTGAGCGCACAAGAGCACGGAAAGAAGAGCCACGGGGGCCGAGCCAGAGCCACAGGATTCCTGTCCTGTCCGAAACCCTGCCAGGGATGGCAATGGTTTGGCTTGTGGTTCTGCATCAGAAATAGAGTTAAAGAGGGGGGGGGCACGTGGCTAGAGAGGTGGGCAGGAGCTCGCAGCACTCACAGGCGCAGAGGACCTGAGCTTGATTCCCAGCATCCAGGTTAGGCAGCTTCTAGTTGCCCTTAACTCAGATCCAAAGCCTTTTAAAAATAATAAGAATAAATTTTAAAAAATGACAGAGGGGCAGGGTACCTGACCTTGGTAGAGCTTTTGTACTGAGACCCTGGATTCCATTCTTGAGCTCTGCAAGTAAAAAGCAGGCAGGGAATGTGGAGAAGAACAGTGTCCTGGTGAGAGTTACTGCTGCCATGAGGAAACCAGAAGCAAGCTGGGAAGGAAAGGGTTTGTTTGGCTTACACACCTACATCACAGTCCATCACTGAAGGAATCAAGACAGGAACTCAAGCAGGGCAGGAACCTGGAGCAGGAGCTGATGCAGAGGCCATGGAGGGGGCTGCTGACTGGCTCGCTCCCCATGGCTTGCTCAGCCTGCTTTGTTGAAAAACCCAGGACCAGCAGCCCAGGGATGGTTCCACCCACAACAGGCGAGGCCTCCCCCCAAATAAATGATTAATTAATGAAATGTTCTTAAGGCTTGCCCAGTCTTATGGAGACATTTACTCAATTGAGTTTCCCTCCTCTCAGATGAATATAACTTGTTAAGTTGACAGAAAATTTGCCAGCACCCTCAGTGAAATGGCTCAGCAGATACACACTTGACAAAGCTTCTGAGCCCACACATAAAGAAAAAAACCAACTCTTGCAAGCTGTCCTTTGAATTTCTGTACTGTGTTTCACACGCACAGACACACACACACGAGGACAGGGTAGCAAAGCCAGGCGTAGCGGTGAATGTTGAGGATGAGGCAGGAAGATAGCAAATTCTAGGCTAGCCTGGACTATGAGACTGACGCTGTCTGTAAGAAGCGATGACGAGAGGCTGACCTGGTAACAGACTCTGTGTGAAGGAGGACTCTGAGCCCTGGAGAAGCCGGGAACTAACATCTGGTCTCCAGAGCCCTTGACTTGTCAGCGTGCTCTTGCTACCCTCCTTTGCCTGTTTGGCGGAGGGCTTAGGGGTCGGCCATGCCGGCCCAATGCTGGTCGATGGAGAAGGACGCATCGCACGGGTGCTCCTGGGTTGATGGGAGGAAGCGTGTCTGTGCTTCTCCTGGACTTGTGTGGGCTCCTTGGTCTCTGGGCGGCAGTAGCATTCCAAAGCGCAGAGAGTCAGGGTGTGTAGAACCTGGGACCCTATTTCACCTCCACACTTGAGGGCCGTTTGTTTTCTCTCACTCACGGTCCCCTCATAGTCTATGAGAGAGAGGTGCTGCAGAAAGGCCTGCTGCCGGCATAACTGCTCTCGAGGCCTGGACTTTGCATCAGAAGTCATTTCTCTGCTTTGGGAAATTACATGCAGCTGAGAATACATTTGTTCACTCAAAATAGATTTTTTTTTTTTTTTTGAGTCCCACGCATCCTGAGAGGGGAAAAAAAAAATCTGTTTTTAGTGCCTATCTGTTACTGAAAACTAGGGCACCCTAGGCAGGGGACTCAAATAATTTCAAAGTTTGGTTTCTGAAAGTAAAAACTGCAAAGGCTGGAGAGAGATGGCTGCTCCAGAGAGGGCTCTGGTTCAATTCCCAGCACCCAGACAGGCACACACGCATCGGTAACTCTAGTCCCGGGGGACCCAGCGCCCCCTTCTGTCCTCCTTGAGCACCAAGCACGCATGCCATGCACTTAACGTACATGTGGACAAGTACAGAGATTACAGGCATAGGCTATCACACCCATTACCCGGGGTCTTCAGTTATCAGTGAAGCCGTGTGGGGGACAGACTAAGACACAGAAGGGAGGAAAAGGCTAGAGGATATGACCAGCCTTGAGGGTCACCAGCTTGTCCCATTGTGCTGAGACAACACAGTCGCCAATTTCCTGAGACAGTCCTTGGGGGTGGCCGTGGAAAAAGCATGGCATGCCGCTCGGAAGGACATGCCTCGCCGTGCTCCTTCCAGTACCCGTCTTGCTGTCCCTTGTGGGCAGGGATAAGAGGCTTTGTGGCTTTATTGTATACCATACAATACGATAAGTAAGCTCTTTCCACCGAGCTACGCCCCGCCTCCAAGCCTGGCTTTATGTTCTTTCCCAAAGCTGGGATTACGGTTGAAGGCCGCTGGAATCCTGTCACTGCTTTCCCAGCATGCCTTCCTCTCCTCTCGTGTAGACAGTCTATTTTTTTTAGAGGCAGTCTATTCAGGACAAGAATGGTCCTGAGAAAGATTTCACCCAGAAGCTGCAGGCTGCACAGAGCTGCCTCAGCCGTTCAGTGCGCGGCGAAGATCCTCAGTTTTATTACCCAGCCATTTTCCACAAATTGGAAGGAAGGAATGAACGGCATTTGTGGTATTCATCTGATGAATGGAGGGCTGACATCAGTGCAGAATTCTTTTCCGATTCCATTATGTCTGAAGGCCTAGCTTCCCCTCCCTTGCCAGCTGTTTCCCTTTCTCCCCTCATTCACAGGAGGTCTGTAATGGTCCTCATATGGGAAAGACTGAGTTGATTAATATAAATTATTTATATATTACCCATTCAATCCCGAATGTCCTGGACGTCTACGCATTTTAATTGGAAGCCAAGTGGAGACTCCAGCTTGTTGAATGGGTGAGGGTGAGGTTTTCACTGTGTTAACATCTATTCTCTTCTCCAGAGAGTTGCCTTTAGTTACGGAAACTCAACGGGCCAACGGGCCGGGGCAGTTTAGAATGCTCTGCGCTGGTCTGTGAGTCAGGAGCTCTGGGGTTTGATTCTACTGCCCCTGACCGTGTCTGTGACCTTGGCCAGGCATCTGGCGATGCTGGTATTTTAGTGTGTACGTGTGAGAAAGGTGGCGGAAGAAGGGAGATGAAAAAGAAAGTCTTCACTTACTAAGTGGGAAGATGCATTATAAAGACAAACCATGTTGGCAGAGTTCTGGACACCCTGTGCCAGGCCTGAACCTATCAGGGAGGCATGGGCAGCGTGCATGCCAGGCCTCCGCTAATGGGAGGGAGCGCTAGGCATTGACTGTGCTTCCTGTTGCCTGAATAGACACGGGGGAAATTACAGAAAAGTGGCTGCGAGCCCAGGACAGAGAATTACAGGGAAGGCACAGCATAGCCACCGGGCCTTGGCCTGTTGCCTCGCTGGGAGCCTCGGCTGCTGTTTTTACGATGGTAGAAGGTCCCTCAGATGGGGGCTACACAAGCTTTGAGTGATAGCAAGTAAAGACCGAGAACCTTGAACAGAAGCGGCAGGAGCCTGGCAGGGCTCGTGGTCAGCCAGCTGTGTGAGGCAGCAGCCTGCTGAGTCGGTGTCAGAGAGGAAGGTGTGGGCGAGGCCTCACACCTGTGGGTCAGGTGTGGGAGGTGACAAAGCCCTGACAAATTATTAGCGAGATACGCCTTGTGTGGGTGAAGGCTTATGTAAGCCTCCCCTCTCCTGAGCGTGAATGTGATCAAGGTAGACATGGAGGGCCAGAGTTCGCCTCCCGGCACAGTTGCTTGAAAGGGAATATGGTCTCGGTCTTGGACCTGAGTCTGAGCGTCAGCTCAGCTGTGGTCCAGGTACTCCGGGGCACACCAAGTGCTGTGTACTCACCGAGGGTCCCTATCTGTCTCTTCCAGCTTCTGCGTCCTGCTCCTGGCACCTAACTTCTGCTCCTGCCTTCCACTTTCCTCTAATGTGAGCAAAACCTTCACTGTCTCTCAGTTCTCCTTTCTATTCCCGAGGCTGCACCCTTCACGGTGTACTCCTGCCCTGTGTGTGCCTGTGTGTGCGTGTGTGTCTGTAAGCATGCTGTGTACCTTTACCTTGCTCTCCCAAATCTATGTCAACTGCTGACAATACAGGGTCCCTCTGCGCAACTGAAAAATCTCCTCAGTCTGGTAAACACATTTATCCACTTACACAATCCAGATTCTGATTTGGACATGTTCTTTCAAGTAGCTTCAATTGCACTGTTACTCTCAGATCTTATTCCGCATTTTAATCGAGGCCCTGTTTTTTGGGCAAAAAACCCCACCGAGTCCTTTTAGAGAAAACATTAAAACGAAGCAACAGCATCTCCCTTTAAATCCAATTGTGTCTGTAGAAGAAAAAAAATCTGTTCTTCAAATGATGGTCTGGCGATTGCCACGCCCACCCACTGCCGTAACTTGGGTCACCCCCCCCCCCCCCGGCCGGGCGAACGAGGCCCCCCCCTGGTCTTTGGTGTTTTACCCTCCCCCCCCCCCCCCCCCCCGAGGACTCAGCCCTGAAGTGTGGGTAGCTGTCAGCCAGCCGCTTCCTCTCGGCTCTGCTCTTTTATTCTTGTGACCTTTGGATGCTGTTGGAGGGTTTGCCAATTGTTTTAGTAAACTTTGTTTTATAGGTCTTCACTTCCAGTTCACGTTTGTGTTCTCCTTCTATTTCCTAACATCCCTGTTTTAAAAATTCTGTTCCTGTAGCCAATGAACACTCAGTGCAACTTTTTGCGGGCCTGTCCATTTCCGGGGCTGTTTGGTCAGTTGGTGTGGTTTGGTTTATTTGCAACAGGGTCTCACTCTAGTCTGGCTGGCTTGGCACTCGCTGTTTAGACCAGAATAGCTTTGAACTTGCAGCCTCCCTCTTGCTGGTACTCCCAAGTGCTGGGATGATAGGTTTAAGCTTCCAGCCCAGCTTGATTTTTTTTTTTTTTTAAGTAGGGAGCTTTTTAATTTTTTATTTTATTGTATTTGTTTTTTTAATTTTTATTTTATTTTTATTAATTACAGTTTATTTACTTTGTATCTCAGCTGTAGCCCCCTCTCCAATCTCCTCCCAATCCCACTCTCCCTCCCTCTTCTTCTCCTATTCCCCTCCTAGGGTCAGATGGAAGGGGAGAAGGACCTCCCTATCATTGTTTTGTTTGTTTGTTTTAATCTGGAGTCTGTTTTGCCCATAACCTGGTCCTTTTAGGCTTAGCTCAATTCAGGTCCTGGGCCTAGGGATTCATTTGCATTATTTACCATCTTACAGTTTTCTGCTGGGAACTTGAGCTCATCTAGGCCCCGGAGGGGAGAGGTGCCTGGCCACCCTAATTTGCCCTCTTCTTGCACTGGCTGAGGTGTTTGTGTTGGGGCAAGCCAGGGCATTCACACTCAGGTAGACTTCTGGCCCACCACGAAACGATTTTCATCGTGCTCATTTTTTTTTTTTTTTCAGAATTCTGATTTTATTGGGGCCACAATAACAAATCTGTATATATTGGGGGAGGGAGAGAGGTTCAGGGGCTCATGAACCATAGGCTTGCCTCAAACCTGATGGAATAGCCAAGGATGACCTCGAACTTATGACCCTGATACCATCACCCAAGGTTATAGGCATGTACCACCACGTCCAGTTTTATTCTGTGTTGAGCAGTGAACCCAGGGCTCTAGGCAAGCTAGGCAAGCTCCCTGCCAACCAAGCAACAGCCAGCTCCTGCTCTCTTGGTTTTAGAAGTTAAATTATAGTGTTGCACAATGTGACAACTCTTATTCCACAGTTTGCAAGTAGTTCCCAAAGTTGTCATTAACTAATTTGTTGCCCAGGGCATTGCTTTCCCTCTCTGTTACCTTTCAGACCTGTTATAGGCAATGAAGCTTTAGTAGGCTGTGCCTCCTTCTGGAAGCCTGGTAATGCAGTTTGTTTCGCTTACAAATTATTCCATCTTTGTGTCACTTAGGGTTTGTTTAAGAATATGCCTAACTTGGGGCTGGCAAGATGGCCTAGCAAGAAAAGGCACTGACTGCCAAGCCTAAGGGCCTGACTTTGATGCCCAGAGTCCATCCGGAGAAGGAGAGACCAAACTCCCCAGGGCTGTCCTGTGACCTCCGTACAGCCACTGTGCTGTGTGCACGTGGCCACTAATGAGACAGAATAACAGCAAACGTGAAAGCGGTGTTTGTTAGAACGCACCAGATTAAGATGCAGTGGCTTCTCCACACGACCTCGGCACTGGGGAGGTAGAGATGGGAAGATCAAGGCCTTCCCCAGAAGTACAATGAGTTTGAGAGCAGCTTGGGCAACATGGGAATCTGTCTTTAAAAACTAGAATAAAACCAGTCCAGAGAGTAACAAGATGTTCCTCTGAAAGCGAAATGCCTTACTTAATTCCCAAGCTTAATGCTTCTGAGCTGCCTGAGAGCCAGCCCCACCCCCAGGCTGTTACCTCGGCTCCTTTCACTTGTCATTTGGATTAGACTTCTCCCTTTTGTATTGTGGTTTTATTTTCTCCTCCTTTCTGCTTAATGTTCTCTGTGTGTGTGTGGGGGGGTGTGTGTGTGTGAGCACAAGTGTGCATGTATGTGTGCTGTGTGAGTGTGCTGTCAGTGTGTGTGTGTGTGTGTGTGTGTGTGTGCGCACATCTCTGTGCGTGTGTGTGCTCGCTGTGTGTGAGTATGAGTATGTGTGCCTGTGTCTCAGCTTGTCTGCACCTTGCTCTGCCACTCAGCCCGAGCCCAGCTGCCCCAGCTGTGGGGCACCTACACAGTCTGGTACAGACATGCAGGAGAGGCTCCCCGACCTACCAAGCCAGCCATAGCCTGGGCAGGTGGGGTTCCTAGGAGCACAGCCCGTAGATGCGTTAAAGCCAGGCCCGACAGGCCCGTCAGCAGACTGCCTGCGCTCACCACTGATGCTGAACCGTCTGCTTCCTTCTCTAGAAGTTCCAGGCACCAGCACGAGAGAGCTGCGTGGAGTGCCAGAAGACTGTGTACCCCATGGAGCGGCTCCTGGCCAACCAGCAGGTGTTTCATGTCAGCTGTTTCCGCTGCTCCTACTGCAACAACAAGCTCAGGTGAGCCACACCCAAGCAGGCCGTCTCTGCGAGAGTGCACACGGACTCTGGCCTTTAGAACACTGGCACTAAAAGCTACTGTTCGGGTTGTGCTGGGGCTCCTGGTGAAGGAAGAGCCCTGTGGGTGGCAGGTCCTTCACACAGACCCGTGATGGTGCAGGGCCGCCTAGTGTCGGAACTGAAGCTTAACAGACTGGGAGCCGCTAACGAAGCCCCTCACCCACGACCAGATTTGGTGGAATGTTTTCCTGTGGTGTCACAGAACCATAAGTGTTGTAAATTTAAAAGTGGGTGTTGGACTATATAATGTTTATTATTAGCCCTGTAATTATCACGGCAGTATTTAACCCACTGTCACAATCAATAAGACACGGACACCTGTTAGGTTTTATAATTGCCTTATTTACCTTGGGCTGGGCAGATATTTCACCTACGCCAGCTCAATAACCTCATCACTCACCTCCCAGCCCCCATCCAATGCCATCTGCCTTAACCAGCCTCATCTGGCTGCCTTCCATCCATAACCTTATGAATACTTGCTTGTATTCTTCATCTGGGCCTTTCCATGCCATTATTAGTCCTTCCTCCCAGCCTCTGAGGTTCTTTCTCCACACTAACCCATCATGGCATCTTTCTTCCTCCTCCCTTTCCATCCATCTGTCTGTTTCGCATGATTCTCCTGGAAAGCCCCAGAACCTTAGCTATGCCTACCCCATTCTGCCCTGCCCAGGTATAGGCCTTTAATCAACCTAATGTCCTAGATAGGTTTACACAACCAGGATAGGTGTATCCAGGCAGTAACCAGCTCTTGAGGGCCAGTAATTAGCATCAAAATACAAGCATCAGACCAACTCCCAACACATAAACTTAAATCCCAAGATGCACCAGGCCTGGTGACCATGGGCCTGGAATCCCAGCCAAGGAAGCTGAGGCAGGACGATCTCAGCGCATGGCCTACCCGGGCAACTTAGTGAAATCCTGTGTCAAGACAAAAAGTGAAAAAGAGGGCCGAGGGTGTGGTCTAGTTGTAGAATGCAAGGCATACCTATCCCTGAGTTCAGTCCCCAGTACTGAGGAAGGTGGGGAGAAAGGAACTCACAGTGAAACTACCGCTATGGCAGAAGGGGAGATTATTTCACATTGCAGTGTCAGAGAGAGGGAAGTATCCGAGGGGTCACCTTCCCATTTTTCTTTCCCAAGTAAGTATCCTCCTAGAATACTCTTGAAAGATGTCCTGGCATCTACAGGATACTGATGGGTTTTGTACCTTCCCACAGCTAGACCAGAGGTAGCTCTAGCTAGATAACGCACCTTTACAGCACGCCAAAACACTGCCTCTGGGGCCTCCACGCCTGTTATTTTTCTGCCACTGAATTCTTTTTCTTTCTTTCTTTCTTTCTTTCTTTCTTTCTTTCTTTCTTTCTTTCTTTCTCTCTCTCTCTCTCTCTTTCTTTTTTTGTTTCTTTTTGGGTTTTTTCTCTCTCTCTTTTTTTTGTTTTGCTTGTATTTTGTTTCTCAAGACGGGGTTTCTTTGTATAGTCTTGGCTGTGCTGGACCTTGCTCTATAGACCGGGCTGGCCTTGAACTCACAGATCCATCTACTTCTGCCTCCTGAGTGCTGGGACTAAAAGCATGTGCATTACCACCACTGTCTTTGGGTTAATTTTTTTCAACAAAACATGTATCTTATGGGGAAATGCTATCATTGGCTGACCGCCTCATTTTTTACATGTGTGGGTGTTTTCGCCTGCATGTGTGTCTTCGCCACATGCTTGCCTAGTGTCTGCAAAGGCTAAAGGAAGCATCCCATCCCCTGGAATGGAGTTTCAGTTGGTTGTGAGGTGCCGTGTGGGCGCTGGGAATCAGACTTGGGTCCTCTGGAAGAGAGGCCAGTGCTCCTAACCACTGAGCGGCCTCACAGGCCCCGGTTATGATCCTTTACAAGCCACCGCAGTGGATTGGGCATGGCACACACACCCAAGAGGCAGCAGCACCGGGTCTCTGTGACCTCAAGTCTAGCCTGTTCTACACAGGAAGTTCAAGGCCACCCAGGGCTACCATTCTATCTTTAAAAAAAAAAAAAAAAAAAGTTAAGCTGGGTAAAACAGATCTCCTGGCTCGTTCTCCTCTCTGCCAAGGCTGGCTTTTACCCAGTCAGGGTTAGGCACTTGCTGCCAAACATTGGAAGCATATTGTATCCATTGTGATGTTTAAAGTTAGCACAAATGAAGAAAGTACAAAGAAAAAGATAGGAGTTGCAGGTTACCAATACCAAGGGAATGTAGGAGTGACCAGAGATACAGGGTTACCTAGGGAAGACTTACAGAAAAAGCAATTTTAAACACTGAGGCAGAGTGGAGTGAAATCACTTGAAAATGAGGACTTACAGATCAGTTAGGAGAGTGACCAGGGAAGGCTGGGTCCAGGGAGTGAGCCTGTTTTGTGTAAAGGTGCATGCCTGTCAGTCACCTCAGCACCCAGGAGGCAGAGGCCAGCCTCTGAACTACATAGTGAGTTCAGGCCTTCCCCTGGGGTGGGGGGGCTCTCAAAAGAGGGTAAGGTGTTTATGTGCTTTTAAAGATGTTTTCCTTGGACTGGGGGTGCGCCTGGCTCACAGTCTCTACCCCCAAAGGGGGAGGAGGGGCTTCCACCATCTTCAGAAAACCTGGAACTCCCAGATTGAAGCCTGCTGGTATAAACCAGAGTACAGAGGAAGGTTCACTGACTGTGTTTCCTCTTTTGACGACAGTCTAGGAACGTATGCGTCTTTACACGGAAGAATCTATTGTAAGCCCCACTTCAACCAGCTCTTCAAGTCTAAAGGCAACTATGATGAAGGCTTTGGGCACAGGCCACATAAGGATCTGTGGGCGAGCAAGAGTGAAAACGAAGAAACTCCGGAGAGGCCGGCCCAGCCGCCAAACGCCGGGGCCGGGGAGAGCCCCCACAGCCCCGGGGTTGAAGATGCCCCCATCGCCAAGGTGGGCGTGCTGGCCGCCAGCATGGAAGCCAAGGCCTCCTCCCCGCGCGAGAAGGAAGACAGGCCCGCGGAGACCAAGAAGCTGCGCATCGCCTGGCCGCCCCCCGCCGAGCTGGGCAGTTCGGGGAGTGTCGTGGAGGAAGGCCTCAAGGTGTGCAAGCCCAAGTGGCCTCCCGAGGAGGACGGCGCCAAGACGGAGGCCGCCGAGGACGTGGACCTGAAGAAGCTGAGGCGGTCGTCGTCCCTGAAGGAGAGGAGCCGCCCGTTCACGGTGGCTGCCTCCCTCCGAGCCTCCGCCAGGAGCCCCAAGGCTTCGTCGCCGCCACTCCGGAAGGGCTGGAGCGCGGAGCAGGGCGAGGAGGGAGGGAGGGGGCGGGGGGAGGGCGGCGACGCCGCGCGGCCGCGCTGGCAGAACGGGGGTCCTGGCAGCGAGGAGGCCGAGGACGGCGGCCCTGTCCCGGCGCCGCCGTCTCCGCCGTCTCCGCCGCAGCCTCCCAGTCGGCCTGGCTTCGCAGACCTCGCGGCCACCCAGAGCCCGAAACCCCAGGGTGGGGGGTCCTGGGAGGGGGAGGGGGTCCGGGAGCTGTCCGTGGAGGAGCAGATCAAGAGGAACCGGTACTACGACGAGGAGGAGGACGAGGAGTGACCGCGGCGCCCGCCGCCCTGCTAGCGAATCGCTGCCCTTTGTCACGGTGCTCGGAAGCGGGCCGCCCGGCGCCCGCCGTCATCCCTGTGGGCGCAATTTAGAAACGACCCCCCGCCCCCCAAACCACACCCACAAGCACGGAGAACCGGCTAGTGGCCGTCCCTCGAGCCCCGCAGGGTGGCGCATGCGCCCTCATCCCAGCCCGGTCTCCAGCGTGAGTTCCAGGCCAGCCGGGTCCACCCAGAGAGACCCTCCCTGTCTGGAAAAATCAAGAGGAAACTCCATTTCAGCGGCGAGGACGTGTAAGGGCTGAGCAGGGAGTTCTCTCACCGGCGCAGCCCGCGTCCACTGCCTTCCCCAAAGTCAGCACCGAGGTGGCTGCACAGAGGCAGCTTTTCACACTGCAAACACCACTGCGGGGTTAGACACACGCACAACAGTCCAGGAGCCTGCATATCGTGACCGGAAGCACGTCAGTGTAAAGGGACAGTGTAGATATTTTTCCAATTTCGGGTTTTAGTACTCAGCTGTCGAAATCAAACATTTGGTCTTTCGAACTCTTTTTTTTTTTTTTTTTAATGCATTTTCTTCCTCTGGTAGATACGGGAAACTTACTGCCTTCCCTCCTGCTCTCGGCGTCTTTAGTCACGGAGGTATGAAGCCGTCGGCAGCCCTTGGCCCGGTGAGGTGGCTCGCTGTGTAAGGCGCCGGCCCCACCGGCCTGCCCGCCTGACCCAGCACCCCTGTGAGAGCCTCCGCAGAGCTGTCCTCTGACGGACATCCCCGGCACCCGTGCCCGTCGACGGTGACATAAACAAGAAAGAGAACGCAGCCAACCTTCCGAATGCCTTCGAGACAAAGGGCCACCTGCCCGCCGGTGCGGGCCGCGCCAGGGGCCAGCGGCACTGCCCTGTGCCCCGCCGCTGGGCTTCTCTTCTGGTGGCAGATGGTATTTCCAGGGTTAAATCAATGTTTGGTCTTCTTGGGTGGTGTCCTAGTTTGATTCTCCGTTGCTCTGATAAAACACTGGGCAGAAGTGGCCTGGAGGAGGAAGGGTCCTTTCCACTTACAGGGCACAGTCCAGGCCCAGGGAAGCGGGGCAGGAACCGGGCTGCAGGAGGGTTGCGGAGGCCTCGGAGGAGCGCCGCTCACGGGCCGGCTTTCTCACACAGCCCAGGCCGCCGGCAGCCCACCACAGGGAGAGTTCTCTAGGATGATAACATCATAAGCAAGTGCATTTACTTTACCCATATCCCAAATTACGAGTATGGGGGGGTGTTTTTAAGGTATAGTCCTTTTGGGTTTATAGAGATTTAGCTCGGCTTTAGAGATGTAAAATAATGTTCCCTGATAGTCTTATTCAGCCTGAAACATTTTTATTCAATAAAGCTTTTAATTTACATTTCAGCTTTCCAGGGTTCTCTTTTTCTGCTGTGTCTTTATTTGTTGGGACCAACTTTTATTTGCGCAGTGGAGAGGGAGAGTGCTATGAATTCATCTCACCACTAGATGGTGATGCTGAGCTGAACGGTGGACTTCTCACGCACCCTGAAAGAAGACAATTTTTTTTTTCTGTAAAATTGCAAGTAATTTGGCAAGAGAATTAGTATGTGCGTTCAAAATGAACTGTTTGTTTTACCAATTCAAATTCCAGTGGTGGTTTTTACTGTTTATTGTACTCAACATTTAGTAATTCACCTTACAATTATGCCTAACACACAAAATAGGATTCCAGCCATCTCTGCTGAAAACGTGCATTCTCTGTTCTAGGTGTGAGCATGTCCAGTTGTTGATTTCTTCTGTAGAACCAACTGCTCCAAGTGTTTCCTGCTCTTGTTGGTTTGTTGTTTTAATAATATTTTGGAAATCAGGTCTGGTGGGCCATGCCTGTAATACGGGGACCTAGGAGGCTGAGGCAGGAGGATTACTGTGAGTTAGAGGCCAGCTAAGCCACAAAGTGAGACCCTGTCTCATACAAACAAACCCACTCAAGAGGCTGGAGAGTTGGCTCCCAAGTGCTGGGATTAAAGGTGTGCACCACCACGCCCAGGTTAGACTTCCAAGTCTTAAACTCTCCCTGCAGCCAATCATTATAGGGTTTTAGTTTTTCGTTTTTGTTTTTTTAAGATTTCTTTAATTGCGTTGGAGAGGTGGCTCAGAGCTTAAGAGCAGTGGCTGGTCTTCCAAAGGTCCTGAGTTCAATTCCCAGCAACCATATGGTGGCCCACAATCATCTATAAAGAGAGCTGGTGTCCTCTTCTGGCCTGCAGGTGTACATGCAAGCAGAACACTGTGTAAATAATAAATAAATAAACAAATAAATAAAGCATTCTACCTGCATATGTGCCTGCAGGCCAGAAGAGGGCAGCAAGTCGTGGGCCACCATGTGGTTGCTGGGACTTGCTCCTCCTTTGCCTCTGAGCCACCTCTCCAGCACTCAGCTTCACAGCTTCTCAACTTTGGCCTCAGTTTCTCTGTCATGTCTCATCTCCTAGATACTTCTGCCTCCACTCATGGCTTCTTGCATCTGCTGTAGGTCCGGCCTTTTACAGCCCAGCCATAGCCCGTTTCTCCCACCAGCTTTTATGTGAGTTCAGGTACACAGATGTGTGAGAATGCAAATAAAACATTTACTGATAGCAAACCAGGAGGACATTTCTTTTTGTGCAAGGTTTTGTGTGTGAGTATTTTGTGTGTGTGTGTGGCTGCTGCCCATGGAGGCCAGAAGTGGACATTGATTCCTTGCAACTGGAATTACAGATAGTTGTGATCTGCTATGTGGGTGCCAGGAATTGAACTTGGGTCCTCTGGAAGAGCAGTAAATGCTCCACTGAGCCATCTCTCTAGCCCTTCAAAAAAAATTTTTTTTTCTGAAACAGGGTTTCTCTGTGTAGCCTTGGCTGTCCTGGACTCGCTTTGTAGACCAGGCTGGCCTCAAACTCACAGAGCTGCACCTGCCTCTGCCACCCCAAGTGCTGGGATCACAGGTGAGCGCCACTGAGCGTGGCTATTTACACTTTTTTTTACAGATTCATCTTTATGTGTGCATGTTTGCCTGCATGGATGCATTTGCACCGTAGACATTTCTGTACCCGCTGAAGCTGGCAGAAGTCGGTGCATCCCTGAAATGGAAGGAACAGATGTTTGTGAGCTAACATGTGGGCGCTAGGAATAGAACCCCAGCCCTGTCTTCAAGACCAGCGAGAGCTCTCTCTCTCTCTCTCTCTCTCTCTCTCTCTCTCTCTCTTTATTTGCCATATATGAGTGCTCTATGTCAGAGAGGGCAGCAGATCTCACTCCAGTTGGTGGGAGCCACCACATGGGTGCTGGGAACTGGACTCAGGTCCTCTGGAAGGACAGCCTGTGCTCTTAACCACTGAGCCATCTCTCCAGACCCCCAGCAAATACTCTGAACTGCTGAACCATTCTCTCCAGCCCCAATTTTTAAAAATTCAGTTGTGTCTCAGGGCTGGGGTGTGGACATCTGAAGCGAATGCGACCCAGTCAGCTTTCTCCTTCCGCCGCATGGGTCTCGGATTAAATCAGGCTCCATGGCGAGCACCTTCACCTCCTGAGCCATCACTCCAGCCTTCCGTTTTATCTTTGGACAGTTTCTCCCTGACATTCAGCTAGGCCACTAAGCTCCAGAATCCATCTGTCTCCGCCCCAGCACTGGGGTCTGCAGCACGCACGGCAGGCACGGTTGTTTTGTTGTGTGTGTGTGTTTCGATTTTTGTTCTGTGTCACCATTACAGCCTGCTCTATTCATGATAAAGACTGTTCATAAGAGTCTTTGGTGGCTTAGTGTTGTCAGCTAGGGGTTGAGTGAACAGGAGACCAGCCTCCCACTCCAATACAAAAAAAGAACGTCAAGCAGCTTGCTTTGTACCCGAAGAGGGGTGTGGTGTACTTTGGCCGGATTTTGATTCCAGCTCCGGTCTTGTATATGCTACCACTCACGAGCCTTCAAAGTCCATTCGGGGGGCTGGAGAGATGGCCCAGTGGTTAAGAGTACTGTCTGCTTTTCCAAAGGACCCAGGTTCAATTCCCAGCACCCACATGGCAGCTCACAACTATCTGTAACCCCAGTTCCAAGGGATCTGATGCACACACTAATGCACATAAAATAAAATTAAATAAATTGTTTAAAAAAAAAAGGTTTAAAAAAAAAAAGCCCATTTGGGGCTTTTAACAGAGTCCCGGAGAGATGGTTTCCCTCCCTGCCCCTGCCCTGCGCTGAGGCCTGCTGAAATGTAAGCAGTCACCTAGAAGCTGGAGGGTTGTCTCTCCCAGAAGGGAGTTCTGCAAAGCCAATACAAGCTGTCTGAAACAGTCCTGACCGGAGCGGGGACTCGTGCGGCAGGCGCCATGGCCGTCATTAACCACGGTGGCCGAGGTCTTGCAAGCTGGAGCATACGCAAAGCAGCTGGACGTCATGATGGTCCAGATGATCATCAAAAAAGGGAGGCTTGGTTGCAAGGGCGTGGCTCTTGGCTAAGCCAAGGCAGCTAGACACAAGTCTGAGCGCTGTCAGCTGAAGGGTGAAACTGGCAGGCCCTCCGAAGCTCAGCTTGGTTGAAGTGACTACTAAAGCGTACTTACAATCAGGCCTATTATTAAGGCTACTTAGCAACAACTGTCTAATCCCTAGACAAATGCCTTCAGGGGACCTTAGCGCTAGCCTCGTCTCTCAATCATATATTTCAAGAGGAATATATTCTCCAATAAACGTGGGGGACTGGTACAAGCACATCTGGGGGGAATTTAGAATTGCATCTTAGACCAAGACCATTGTACAACTGTTCCTCCATGCTCAGCAGACATGCTTTCTGTTTCTTAGTGCTCATTTAAAATCCCTGGTGCTTGTTTACTTTTTTTTTGTTTTTGTTTTTGGAAGATAGGGTTTCTCTGTGTATGCCTGGCTGTCCTGTAACTCTAACTCAGAGATCTGCCTGTCTGTCTTCCAAGTATTGGGATTAAAGATCACACACACACACACACACACACACACACACACACACACAGGCAAACGTTGGCTAATCGGCTAGTTTTTAAAAGAATCAGCCTAAGGAAATGAGGGAAAGTGTCTTCCCATTAAGTCACTTAAGTTCCAAGTGCAGTGGGACCTTTGTGTAAACAGGTTGGGGAGGGGCTGTTAAAACATTGGCCTAGCCTGGGTGATGATGGTGCCTGCCTTTAGTCCCAGCACTCAGGAGGCAGAGGCAGGTGGGAACTCTGAGTCTGAGGCAAGCCTAGTCTATGCAGTGAGATCCAGACCAGCCAGGGATACTCAGGGGGAAAAAAAAAGTCCTATAAGGAGGATAAGATAAAAAGACCTGAATTTCTTGTTAAAAACAAAAGTTTTATTGGTGCTGTGTACTTACAAAAAATGAAAATGAAAAATAAGACTAATGATTAATGTGTTTTTACAAAGTCTATAAGAATCACAAGGTACCTGGGGCTGGAGAGAGGGCTGCACTGCCAAGAGCACCTGTGACTTTTGCAGAGGACCAGGTGTGTGCACCCACAGAGTGTCCCCGAAGCTCTTCGACTCCAGTGCCAGGAGATCTGATGCCCTCTTCTGACCTCTGCAGGCACCAGGCACATCTGTGGTACCTACACATGCAAGCAAAATACACACATAACAGATCTAGCCTGTGCACATGCACACACAGGCGGGCGCAGACACTCGGGAAAGCCTGCTCATGAACACATGCTCATGCAAGCACTCACACCCATTCATGCATGCTCACGTGTACACAGGCGTGCTCACAAACACACACACACAGAGTTGCTGCCCTGACCTAGTGCTGCCTTTAGATGGGCATTGCTTCAAGCAATGGTTTGGGAGGCAGTGACATCACTGTCACTTAGGCATATTAGAAATGAGAAATGCAGAGTGGAGGTAACAGCTCACCCACAGCACATATGCTTCACAGGTGGGAGGCCCGGGGTGGGGTTCAACACCAAAAATAAATAAATCAATCAATCCATTCCATGGGTTCTGTTCTGAAGCCCCACGGGCAAAGTAGTTAGAGGAAGTTTAATTCAGAACGTTGCTTCCCATCCCAAGACCTTCTAAGTCTATGTCATATGGCTAGAATACAAACACACCTTTTTGTATTTGCATGCAGATCTTGGAGTTCAAGGCCAGCCTGGTATAGAGCAAGTTTCAGGTAAAGAAAAGCTTAGGTCCAGGGAAGGTGGTGCACGCCTTTAATCCTGAACAATGAAGGTAAAGTTAGTTTGTAGGAGGAAGCACCCAGTTTGAAAGTCTAACTGAGTGGCGGAAAGAGATAGTGATAAATCAGAGAAGATTTGACAGAATAGGATATGCCCACCTCTCATAAGAAGAAAGAGAGGAAAGGGAAGCTATTTAAGGGGCAGTTCAGAAAGAGGAGGCAGTTTTACTGGGACAATAATAGAGAGACAGGCTGCAGAGAGGGAACTCAGGTGAAAACAGAATGAGCCAGAGAATGAGAAGGAGCCAGGAGATTAGAGCAGATTGCTTGAGTTAGTTTGAGGCCAAGCAGACCAATTCAGAGGCCAAGAAAGAAGTGAGATTGAATAAGTCAGCTGGGAGAGGAGCTTGAGCCAGAACAGCTGAGTTGAACCAGCCAGCCCAGAGCTCAGTAAGAACAAGAAAGGGTGAGCTTGTTAAGCAATGAATCTCAGAGGCTGAAGACATTCTAGGCCTAGGTTAGATGGTGGAGGCTAGAAGCTTCCAGGACTAGGCCTAGGTCAGCAGACAGAGGCGGTGAGCCTCTAAGACAACAACTGAAGCAGGCGAGTGAAAGTTCACGTTACATATCTCCGGCTGGGCCCAGAAGTTGTCAGCACACTCCACACAGCACGGCATAAAGCAGGTTTGAGAAGCACTGAGGTGGTGTAATCTTCTCAGTGGACTCACTGGATGGCTCTTCCCTGACGGCCCCTCACCTCAAACCTTCAGCGTGCCTTCCTAGTTGTAAAGCTACTTTATCTGTTATCCTCAGACCATTAAGTTGAGATTTCCTTCCTCGAACTCCCCTCACCACCATCCCTAGTTAATTTCTGGCTATTAACCTTGTAGCTAGGTTTTAAGCAATCAGGTTCAGGGTTCTTTGGCAATGGAAGGACAATTTAGTCTTCTGAAAGTGCCAGGTCTATGGTTCGCTTCCTTGTTTACGTAGACTCACAAGAGTTCAATGTTCACAAGTGCTCAAGTTGAGGTGGTTTGTAGGACAAGGAAATCAAGGTTCTCGAGTTTCTAGCTACAGCTGCTTATCTATATGACTTTGGGCAAACTATTCTGCCTCTTTGAACTTGAGTTTGTTTCTATAAAAGAATGGGCAATAATGGTATTGATTTTGTAGGATGCAGGAGAAAAAAGAGCCTGTGGGAAATGTTCTTGCAGTCCCGGCCACAGGACAGACCTCATTAAAAACTGAGTCGTCATTTGTTTTTCTTCTGCTGTGTTGCTTTTTCTCCAATCCCTTTCTGCCCCCACCCCACCCCCGAAAAAGGAAGAACTTTTTTGTACTATACTGTATATAAACTGGTCTTAAAGTCATGACAGTTCTCCTGCTTCAGCAACCCGGAGTGCTGAGACCAAAGTCGTGAAACGCCACCTCCACCCATTTCCCCTTGCTCAAAAGGGACTGAGGGCGGGGGTGGGGGTGGGGATGAGGGGTGGTGTCTCATGTAGCTCAGGCTGGCCTTGAACTTGCTAGGTAGCAAAGGATGACTCTGAACTCTTGACCCTCCAACCTCAACCCCCCGCAGCGCAATTACAGTGGAGGCCTGTAATTTAAGGATATTTTAGAGCCCTATGTTTTCTATCAGAAAAAGTGAAGGTAACTTTTAAGGCCTAAAGCCTTAAAGAAGGGGGTGAAGCTGATGGAGGTGCTTAGAACACGGCCGACTGGCTGGGACACGGGGACAGTGAGTGACGAGCAGGACTGTACGGCCAGAGCGGACCCGGGTCTACTGGACTGGGAAGGTCCTCCAGGAGGGAGAAACCACCCCGCAGCTCGGGTGTGACCGAGGCGAAGTCGGAGCTGCAGCGAGGAGCCGGGCGGGGCGGGGCCCGCAGGTGAGAGGGGCGGGGCCGGGCCGGTGGGCGGGGCCGGGCGAAGGGCGCGCGCGCCGAGGCCGGACCCCACCTGCGGGCGCCGGGCCCGGGGAGGGGGCGGGCGGGCGCCATGGGCGGGGAGGAGAGCGGGCCTGCGGGAGAGGCGGGCCGGGCGGCCGCTGGGAGGGCCGGCGGACGGAAGAGGGTGGCCGTGGGCCGGGCCCCGCCCCGGGGCCGCCTCCCAGCGGGTTCCGTTGGCCGTGGCTGCCGCGGAGGCTGTGGCGGCGGCGGCCGCCGGGCGGGCGTAAGATGGCGACGGCGGCGGCGGGAGCCCTGGGCCTCCTGTGGGGCTGGCTGTGGAGCGAGCGCTTCTGGCTGCCTCAGAACGTGAGCTGGGCGGACCTGGAGGGCCCGGGCGACGGCTACGGCTACCCGCGCGCCCGCCACATGCTGTCGGTGTTCCCGCTGGCGGCGGGCGTCTTCTCCGTGAGGCTGCTGTTCGAGCGGTGAGCGCCGGGGGCGGCGGGGGCGGCGCGGGGATGCCCGGAGCCCGCGACGCGCGTGCACACGGCGCCTCGGGGGGGGGGGGCGAGAGGGCCCGGGGGCGCGGGTCCCCCCAGCTGCACGCCCCGGGCTTGCGTGGGCATCCGGAAGGCCGCCTCCGGGTCTCCAGGGACCTAGCGGCGACTCGCGCTCCCGCGGAGCCCCACGCGAGGAACAGGAAGGGCCCGGGAGAACCGGCGCTAGCTGGGGTCGCGGGAGCCTGTGGGCTCCGTGCGGGCGCCAGACCTTCCGAGCGACGGAGGTGGCTGCCTGAGATGTGCTGTTCGCTGAAGTCGCTGTCGCTTCTGGGAACCGGATCAGTTAGGCCCCAAGCCCTGATTTGTTAGCGCGTGGACGCCTGTTAGTTTGACAGTCGACGGCTAGCTAGGATAGGGCGTGGTGAAGCCTGAGGCTTCCAAAGTTTGGGGAAGGTGTCAGGAGGAACTGCTGAGCGGGCCTTGGAGGCCTGAGATGGGCGGAGTGGTCATTTTGAAGGCAGTGGAGCCCGGAGGGGGGGGTTATTGGAAACAGCTCTGTGAGCCAGCCTCTAAGGTTGTAGTAGTCTAACATCTTTGCCGAACCATGTGCTCTGGGCTGAAGTTCCCCCTTTCTTTGAATGGTGGGTCTTATCTGCTGCCACAGAGGTAGTATTCAGCGAGGATTTGATGTGATTTATAATGTGGACTTATTACAGCATTGTGTGTTTTTGATAAAGCTTACTCAAACTCCAAGAACTTAACTGCAAAGGCAAGCAGAGGCGTCTTTTTTTTTTTTTTTAAACCTTTATCTAGCGCCAACATGACTGTAACGCAAGAATCGCCTTATCTATCGTGGAGGTATAGTTTAGACAAAATAAGCCATTACTCCGAAAAACTGTTTTGGATTGGTTTGATTTGTCTATGTCTGACTTATCTGTATTTATTAATACTGCTTGTCTCTTGTAAAAGTGTTGTGCCAGACACTCAAGTACAAAAGTAAATATGGAATAAATATATGTAGTAAATGAAACGCAGAAGTTTTTCTGGGCCCCCAGGAACTTGAAGTTTTTCAGGGTAGTCATTATTTTAGGTGTCCCTGAAGGTGGAGGTGCAAGCTTAGGAGAAGGCGAGAGCTGCACATTCTTAGTGTTTGAGGGCTGAACACAAAACTAGTGACCATGGCAGAAAACAGACAGCCCAATATAACTTTTGTTTTCATTGTCACAGGGAGTCTTTGTTTTTCATACAGACATATATCAGTTTTGTGACTTCCCCTGCTATTGATAAACACCCACATATAGAAAGTTCTGTATTCAGATCCTAAAGATCCCCAGATGGCTGGCAACTAGTCCCTAGAGGAGCAACTGGAAAGAATTCTTCCCGGGGGTTCTGTCTGCTTGTTTCTATGGTACTGCGCGTCAGGGAATGGGCAGGCATTCTGTCTGCTGTGACATTTCTCGTCTAGTAAGGGCAAGTACCTTATTTTTTAGTGTGTGATCTTAGGAAAAGTCGGTGCTATTTTGTTTTCCTTTAAGACGCACTAGCTCAGAAAGTGCTTGGAATTGGCTGCTACTCTTTGTGTGCTGGTCTCCCATAAAGGGAACAGAAGCTGTATTTACATTAAACGCCTATCGGAGGCTGGAGCGATGGCTCAGCCATTAAGAACTGTGCCGTCCAGAACCCCTCCCATGTCCCAGGTTTGATTCCCAGCTCCCACATGGCAGCCCACAACCCTGCAGTTCCAGGGCATCCAAGGCCTTCTTCAGTCTCCATGATGCAGACTTACATGCAGTCAAAACATCGATGTAGTTCAAAGCCAGCCTTGAACAATAGTGAGTTACAGAATAATCATGAGATCAAAAATACAGAAAAAGAACAAAATAAACAAACAGAAAAGACCTAACAGAAAAGCCTATCCAAAATAACTGGGAAATTGGTTTTTCCTATATTTTCCCCTTTCCCAATCCTGCCTGTTTTCTCTAGAAACAAAGATGCAGCATTGACTGTAAGTGGCAAGCGGCAAGCCCTTTCTGCTGACTGAGCTGAGCCTCACGACAGCTGGAGCCTGCACTCTGCTTAGAGCACTGAGTTTGATCCCCAGCACTTCAGTGTTGGATGAAAGCCCCGGCATTTTGCTCATTTCCCTACCTTGGAGTTCTTCACTATATTTTCATTTAGCCACTTTCCACGTGTTTCGTTTGCTTGCTTGAGAAAGGGGCCTGACTATGAAGCCAGCTGTCCTGATACTTTACAGCCTAGCTGGCCTTGAACTGACAGAATTCTCTTTCCTTAGAGACAGGGTTCTCTGTGTAGCTTCAGCTGTCCTGGAACCTGTAGATCAGGCTGTCCTTGAACTCAGAGATCTGCCTGCCTCTGCTTCCCAAGTCCTGGGGTTAAGAGCTATGTTTTTTTTTTTTCTTTTTAATTTATTTATGTATACAGTGTTCTGTCAGCATGTACACCTGCACGACAGAAGAGAGCACAGATCTCATTATAGATGGTTATGAGCCACCATGTGGTTGCTGGAAATTGAACTCAGGACCTCTGGAAGAGCAGCCAGTGCTCTTAACCTCTGAGCCATCTCTCCAGCCCAAGAGCTATGTTTTATGTCTTAAGGAGTCTTAACCCTAGCCTGCTTGATTAAAAGCTTCCTTCTTCAGACAAGGTCTTGCCGAGTAGTCTGGGCTAGCTCAGAACTCCGAGTCCTCCTGCCTTGGCCTCCATGGGCTGGGATGGGGGCAGGCCATCAGGCCTGCCTGCTTGTGCTGTCTCACAGTTACTTCCTCCCCTGCTCTGGACACAGTGCTTTTGTTTTCTTTCCATATTCCCTAGAGAACTGGAGCCTCTTCTGATAGCGACTACTTGAAAAACTATCTGACCATAAATAAAATATGTCTCCTGAAGTCCAGATGGCTCCGACTCACTGTGTCACTCAGCCTGGCCTTTCACCCTTGATGCTCTCCTGTCCCCACTGCACAGCTGCACCTGAGGGTGTAGCTCAGAGATAAGAGTGCTCGCTCTGGGCTCAGTCGCTAGCGCTGAGGAGCAGCCACAAGAGTGGAAGGTCTGTGCAGTGCACAGTGCTCATGGAAGGCTTGGAAAGGGTCTGCTCATCTGTACACACGTTCAGGAGGGCTGTCAGGGATGGAGAGATTTCAGTATGACACAGACACTTGTGCTGAATCAGAGAGAGGAAGATGAGATGAGTTCTCTGGCTAAATCTCAACATGCTGTGTGCACGCTGTACCGTCCCTCCTGACGCCCATGATATATCACAAGTGCCAACTCGTCCAGGTTTGTTGCTCTCTTTAATATGATATTGCTAATAAAACCTGGGAGAATGGTTTAAACTAGCTCTTTTGTCTCTTATTTTTGTTTTGCTTCTGAGACAGACAGGCTCTCTTTCGTTCTCAAGCTGCCCTCCCTCTTCCTCCTGACTGTTGGGATTTCAGGCATGAGCAACTACTCTGGATTTTTAAGTTCAGCTTTAATATAACATTGTATGAAACTTGATTCCCAGCTTCCTGCGTACCTATTCCTTCGGATCAAGTAGGAAGGAGCCTGTGACGGGATCCTGACACCACCAGATCTATATAGGCTAATTTACTTTGGGGATGTTATTACAATAGGAGCTTCATGTTGCCAGAAGACAGTTATTTTGTGAAGCACTGTGGACATGGTGGCCACTCTTGCTGTTGCTTATTCTTTCATTCTTCTCTGGTCACTTAAGGTGCCTTCCGGACAACACTTTCTGTCACTGGGAACTGGAAAGGTTCCCTTGCAGGCCAGTTATGTGTTACTCATTCTTGGAGATGGGGTCTTGCTATGCAGCCCTGGCTTGCTTGGATCTTGATATGTAGATAATCAGGTTGGCCTTAAATTCAAGAGGTCTACCTCAGCTTTCAGAGTGCTGGGATTAAAAGCAGGCACCATCACTGCTTGCTGGCACGTTTTCAGCCTGTCTTTCTCTCTCCCCCACAAACAGGGTTTCTCTGTGTAACCCTGGCTCTCCTGGAACCCACTCTGTAGACCAGGCTGACATTGAACTCACCCTGCCTCTACCTCCCCAGTGCTGGCATAATGGTATACACCACCATGCCCAGCTCTAAGTGCAGCTTTTTAAGTTTTTAAAAAATATCCTGGCTGCCCTTCTCCCGTCGATGTCTCCTGTCCCCTCAGTTTAGTCCATATTAGTGCGTCCTGCAGAGGACAGAGCCTTTGAGAGGACCAGCTGGAGAGGCTGATTGGGTTGTAAGGAACACACCCCATTCCACTGTCTCCCTGATCCTGTTGGGTTGGGCACTGTTGAATTGCAAATCACAGAATTAAATGACATTTGCAGGTCAGCAGAGTGAGGCTGGGGAAAATGCTCACGTGGCCCCAGCAGCTAAAACTCTCTTCTCAATTGGTCAATTCCAGATGGTCAGAAGCCCTCTGAGTCCCTCCTCCCTCTGAGAAATCTTCTCTCCTCTCAGTAGGTGTTGGTGTGCTATGGACAAGCCAACATTGTCAGGCCTGAGACTAGGCTTCTGTCACTGAAAACAAACACGTTACTTATTTTTTGTTGGCACCTCCTGATTCAAAATAATAGTGGAGTCTTCTCAGTGAATAAAGAAGAGGCTAATGGAAGAAAGCAGAAATAACATCTGGGGGCTGGAGATGGCCCAGAGGTTACCAGCACTGGCTACTCTTCCAAAGGTTCTGAGTTCAATTCCCAGCAACCACATAGTGGCTCACAACCATCTATAATGAGATCTGCTGCCCTCTTCTGACCTGTAGGCATACATGCAGGCAGAACATTGTATAAATAATAAATAAATAAATCTGAAGGAAAGAAAGAACATCTGTCTCCTCTTTATAGAGTGGGAAGGGGAGATCTGCCTATTTTGAATTCTCTCCAGAGATATTTTCAGGCAAATAAAATTTTAAAAAGAATATACACAGTTTTGACTATTTGTACTAGAATCTATTCCAATTTTATCATT